CAATGTTAACACTAAAGATTAATTGGTCTATTATTCGTTGCAGGTTTTTCTGTCTTACTTTGAAACTAACCGTGCACTTTGCACTTTAATATCTAGCTTCAAAGTCCAGCTACCAAATGTTTTATAAACTGCCAAGTACAACCTTTCTTATGACAAAAGAATAAACTATTGTTCTTTCCTCCACATTGAGATATTCTCAAAATAAAACTTTCTCAACTGTGTTGCAACAGTGTTACGAAAAAGACTTTATTTTAAAATTTCAGTGATTCACTTACGGAACACCAGCAAACAAACTAGTGGGCCACAAAGAACTTTTCACGGCGGTTCTGATTTACTACTTTTTTTCTCAAAAATATTGCATCTTGAAGTAGATAAACGTAACGTTGTTACCAAAATCTGATTTTTGGTGCTATTTTCAGTTTATATAATGGAGCAATAGTTTCATTATTACAAACGTCAGATAGCGACTACGTAGAATTCGAATCTGATTTTAACCTTTGCTTTACTTATCGAGCAATGATCTCTCCAAAAATCCCTAGTTTTTGTTTATCGTTCGGTTTTTCTGGCTATAATTAAATTTAACGATTAGTAATTTGTACTTATTCTGCATTTTTTCAAAAAAAAAAGAAGTCGTAAAATATTGCGAGTGAGCATTTAAAGTTGTTAGTACTTCTTAGATTTTTTTTCTCTGTATATGTGTGTTTAGGTAGTCGATGAAGGACAGAACAATGTTCTCCCTACCACGTTTTTGTTGCTTTTGATTAAAACAAACGGAAAAAATTGATCAGTAGGAACACCAAAACAAGGTACCTAGCTCAAAGCAGGTGAGCATTTGTTCCTAGGTGAAGAAAAATTATGTGCCAAATAGCATGCTCATGGAGTCAAATGATCATAAAAATTGCATGACTTTCATGAATTATATATCAAAAATATCTAAAAATGAAATTGCTGATAAAGACACGGGTCAAAAAAATTAATGTTTTTTAAATTCATTGATGTGAAAGGACATTTTAATTAAGCGAATACAGCTGATTCCATTTTTAATCAAAATCATGTCATGAAATTAATGAAAATGTCTATTTTAATCAATGAATTTCAAATACATCAACTTTTTTTATCCGTTTCACCATTCTAATGCCATTTTAAAAATTTTTAAACTCCCTGGGTGTTTTTCAATTCTAATGGTTAAGAACCTTGGAGCTAGTTTCAAATCTATAGAGGAAGTATAGTTTACTACAGCAGGACATTTCGAGCCTCATAGAAACCTAAGAAGTTTCTGTATGTGCCGATGCGGTCTTTAATGGTAGGAGTCGCAGAAATGTCTCTTTAGAAGTTAAAACTACCAATTCAGATGAATTTACGCCGAATGAAAAGTACACGAGTACCTACAAAAAAAAAGTGTAACAGTATTACGAAAAGCGAAACATCGTTAGGTTTGTTTTTTGCTTTTCTTACACGAGTAAAACCTAGCTAGTGGAAAACTTTGTTAATATTTGAGAAGCTCGTCCGATGCTCTACAAAGTCTTCTCTAGGAGCGTTTTATTTGAGGATCAACTTTAGCAGGAAATTACAACCTTAATCAAGAGCACTCGAGATTTAGAATCTTTTCATGTAGGGGCATTATGCGAGGATAAAAACTTTCAAGATGTTTGAGACTTCGACCAAAATTCTTCATTTTTATAGTATGAGTATAACATGATGAACTGCATCGAACGGCGTTTAAATTACCTCTCTAGCTCTTACCGTTTTTGAGATAATCAAAAAAGATCATGTCAAAAACGTAACAACGTTACGTTTGCACAAGCCGTCTTACTCGGTATATTATCCATGCATGCAACCGGTAGGCCTCATTAAAGGAATTGCTTAGATTCTCTCTTTCTGCTTTCGTCGGAATCTATATGGAATAACGTTCAATAGTTAGAAGTTAAAGAATTTTCTGCACTGAAAAATGATATAACTGTTGTTATTGAAATACTAATTATTATTCTGTATTGCAAAACATGAACCTAAAGAAAATCCAAAATCTCATCTTCCACTATGATGACAACAAAAGTTCCTTCCAATATACAGTTTTTGATAGTGTTAACTCGTAAAGTTTCTGATTCAAAGACATATCGATGAATGGGATCAATGCATTCTACATTTTTGACGCATACGTTTGCAAAGAGTGATAGTAATTACTAGTAATGTTCTAAATTAGTACCCATCCACTGATAATCGAACACGAAACTGTAAGCCACAAAACTATTGAAACTTGCACGGTGAAGTATTGTTTTGCATGTAAATGGAGTGCAAAATTCTGGAATTGTGTTAGCTTCATTTTTAGAAAGTCAACAAAATTCTTGAGATCTAAAGAGGAAAAGCAAGGCCATTTCCTAAGTCAAGAGTTTCTGTTCCTTTCACGTCTCAACAGAATTTTTACTAAAGCTTGAAGAAACAAAAAATGAATAAAATTGTTTTATTCAATCCGCCTTACCCGCTACTTTTTCTTCTTTTCTTTTGTCATCAAAAAACCTTTTAATAATTCACGTTGACTTTCATGAGCAAGAGCGTGTAAGTGTATTCCTGTGAGTGAGGTTGTACCAATGACTATATGAGAAGTAAGTGATGACGGTGACTACGATTGATGCGATTCTTTTCAAGCCAACTGCACATAGACGCTTTCATGCGAATTTTTACTCAGGCTATCACTGAACATACTGTTTTATATTGCTAGACATGCGCTCGAACATTTTTCTTCGCTTCTGTCTCCTTTTCTGCTGCAAATATTGTCCGGCGCTCGTTGAAGACCACTGCACTCATGATGGTAGTACTTGTTACGTTGCGATTTCTTGATTCTTCTTTATACATTATAAAATTGATTTATTGTTCTCATTTATTTCTTACATACTTTGTTCATTGTGAACATAGACAATCATTGTTGGTAGGTACATGCATCTTACGTGATAAAGGAATAGCGATAAGATCATCCAATGAAGGTATCATTTGATCATTGTCCTTTTTTAACTTTACCATTAGCATAGTAAAGCGTGCCTTGTCCGTTCATTTTGTCATCATTGTATTGTCCCATGAGTTGTTCATAGATTGTATCAACTATTCTTTCTTATACATCGATCATCACAATAGATCAGAAAAAGACATTTGTGAATACTCCTTCTCGTATCGATCGCCATTCGGCCATGTATACACGCCTTGACCTGTTCTGTTGTTATTGACCCAATCACTTGTATACTTGTCCCCATCGGCAAAGTAAATCGTGCCTCTTTCGTGTTTTTTTTCCATTCTTCTATTCTCCTTAGTTGTTGTTCTCTTACGATGTGAAAGAATCTACAAGTTTCCATCAACATCGAATTCCAATACTTGTCGACATATGATATGTGAACTGTAGTATTATATTTGTTTCCATTTTCATCAGTCTAAATTTTAAATGTCAAAGACTTGTTAATGGGTAATGGTTCTTTGAAGTCTAGTGAGCAACAATCAATTTATAATTACTTAACCGGTTAAAAACAGTTACTCACCCACTGATGGATTCACTACTGTAGCGACGTCCATATTTGCCCGTGATAATGTTAATTCTTGATCATTTTCATCAGTCAATTCGTGCAAATAGATCACGGCTAATGACGCATCATCTAGTGTATCACTAATAACACGAAGTCTAGCATCCAATGGAAGAACAACCTCATTTTCTTGTGGAAAGTTACTATATGCTGATATTGCTTTTCCATTTTTCGCTTCTACCATGAGCAATGCCGATACAGATCCAAGAAACAGTTTGATGACTTTAACTGTAGATGAACATGAACTAAAATACCACCAAGTTATTTCATCACCTTCTTTGTAATTCTTACTAATGTCACCATCGATATCACGCCATAAGCTGATTTGAAGGCTAGGTAGTTTTTTCAATGCAGTATCAAATAATTCGAGATAACCATGCCATGATAGTAATACTGATCGATCTTTGTCACGAAATCACAGCGTTGAGTACCCGATAGAGACTTTGTTCAGTCCAATCCATAGTATATAGATAGATTGACGCTGACTCTTCATGAGTAAGACTATGTTCTGAAGGAAAATGGCATTCAGTCTTTGAAATTTTAATAAACTCATCTAGTTGGTCTATTTGAGAAATGATAGGATCGAGAGTTTATCGAAGTGGAAGTAGAGGATGAGTGTGATATCCATCGACAGGTGGAAGACATGTTGGTTTATGATCGACGTAAATGAATCGAAGCATTGCTGTAGAATATACAGAATTCCTTTGTTGATCTTGATGATGTTGTATTCACTTGTGATGATGATACGATGTTAAGATAGTAAGATTATAAAACCTTTCTTACTTTTTTGTTTTAAATTTGAATTATTGCGCACGTTTATATATGAAACCAACGAAACCAGCATTCTCTTTCTTCGTTTGTTCTTTTAGGTTAAAACGAATTTCTTTAATAAGATAATAGAGGTATTACTTAAAAAGTGAAGATCATTTGTTGGCATTGTTTTATGCAAACAGATGCCACTGATGAAAGAAAAAGTGAAATGAGATAAGAAGAGAGAACGGGGTGAGAGTAACGTGGAGAATGAATGTGTGAAAAGTGTACCAGTAGTCGGAAATATATTATGGTCGAATTTTTACGCTAGTCGTAATTCCAATTATTAAATATTTAATAGTGCAGTTGGGCTATAAATGCATTAACTCTTGATGGTGATTTTTAATAAAGATTATCTTCATTTTTAAGTCATGTGTTTAATATCGCTTTTATAAGTTAAAATTAGAGTTTGGCTTCATAGCATATAAGATGAAGCTTTCGAATTAAATAGCTTTATAAGATGCTAAAAATGTGAAATATATTATAACGATTGGAATTTAAAATATAATTGACTAAGCTGAGTAAATCGTCGCTCTCAGTTCCTTCTTAATTTCACAATTCAACGTGATCGTTTTGTTTGAATAACAAGATATAGTTCTGATTACAAAGATGTTTAGTAATATTTTGAAACAACCTTGCATCGGTTTTCATTTCTCATGAAACTGCATTCGATGTTTATTCCAACAAAGTTCCAATTGCTCTATGCGATTTGGTACAAGACTCTATTTATCCTTACTTTTTGAGACATGTTTTAGATTAAATTCTTGAAGATGAAAGGAATTTAGCTCACGTCAGTAACTTCTGTCATAACATGATTTCAATAGTAAAAATCAAACCAATAAGGCTATAATTCGATGTGTAAAGCCTTTCTTTTGTGCTCAATGCATTAAGTTTGCTTTCTTCGGCAGGTATATGCATTAACAAATTATTGCTCATGCTGAAGCTGAATAACACAAAAAGAAAAAATTCATCCGTGTCGTGGAGAATGGAAGCACAACAGTCGTGGATTATTTTTCTATGCTGATAAAGAAAAAAAAATGAATCAACATGACGTTTTGCAAGTTGGAAAGAAATAACGTGCACACCTATATTAATGTATTCGGAGTGGCAAACATCTTTTTTTCCTTCGTATAAAGTGCTTCTTTGGAGTCCCACTCATCCATTTTCAATAAAGAGCGAAACATTTCGCGAACGATTGGTTGGAATTTGTTTTACGAGTCATATCTCTATTGCTCGATTTATATGTACAATGATAAAGAAAAGGGTGAATGTATATGGTTTCAGTACGACTTGATTGTTGAAAGAACAAGCAGAATATATTAAAATAAATTTTAAAATACAAAAAAAACATCAGAATTTCTCGAGTAGCATATGGACATGCTTTTCATGAATACGTCCTCCGAAATTAAAACTTTTATGCTGATCGAAAATTTTAACAGTAGGAAACTTTCAACAGTATTGTTGAAACAAAAGTCGCAGCATTATATACATTAAACAGCATTGACGTTTCATTTCTCAATGCTCTATCGTCTGAATATTTTTCAACACAAAGAGCATTGGTTGATAAATGTGTGCGCGGTAATGATACATAGTCAATTTACGCAAAAATGTCATTAATCAAAATATTGAGAATTTGCATATCACAAACATCTATAAATACATCTCCTTTATGCTTTTACTCTTGAACAATGAAATATACTGTCCTAAATTCATTGATTACATTTCTGTCTATACTATTCTTGATGAAAATGTTTTCGTATTTTTAATCAAATCGAACAAAAAATGACATCAAGCGAAATATTTCATGCATCCGCAAAGCGATCTCTATTTGAAAATTTCTTCAACAAGAACAGGTGCTTTTATGGTGATGACTACATTGAATTGAAGAATAAAAGAATTCATTCTTCTGAAAATAACACAAATATAATACAATCGTAGTTATAACATAGTGTCTTTTAAAACGATGTGAAAAAATGCAAGAAATTTGTCGAGATGATTATCAAGGAATTCACTTTCATCAGCCCAAATTAATTGCGTATATAGCAACGGGTATCCATATCGAATACATGAATCAAAACAAAAACAAAACATTAATTTGTGTGTGTTTTGTGGCCGACGGCTAACAACAGTTATTGCTTTTATTGTCAGGGTTTTATCGTGTGACAATTTCCCAATAATGTGATTAATGTTTCAGGTAATCGGTAAGTTATTGGTCCATCAACGAGTGACGAATTAGACGTACAGCTAAGTGGAAGATTATCACTATTCACTATAAATCACAAAAATAAATTGGTTTACCCGATGGTTTTCGATCGGGTCACATGACATTGGTAGGAAATCGAATGATGACTTTATGTATACAGTGGAGTACAAAAATAGTTACCATTACACATATGCACTTTCTGGGCCATATCTGTCAAGTGTATGAATGGATTCTTCCGAAGCGTTCCATGGTAGTCAAGGAGATGCTATCAAATGCAATGCGAACGAGACTCCTTCCAAAGTGTCATCCTCTCGGTTGAGAGGCATCATGATTTCAGTGTCTCCTGCATTTTTTGCATATCGAGCGGTCATCTTACATTACAAGAATTAGGAGACTCGTTGAACTACAGAAACCGTCTTACTAGTGAAGGTATTTCTCCATAGAATCTAATGAAATAGAAATGAGTTTCAAGCACAAATTGTTTTAGAAGCAAACCGATAATCACAGTCTATAGAACTCTCCGTGTAGATGACGTTCCCACCCGATTTTCGCACTTTCTCGACAGTGGCTGATACGATCAACTTGAAATTCTCAGAACAGATAGATCTCGGCTGTCAGATAGAATTCGCTTCTAAGCAAACAGCCCTCAGGATTTGTCTTCAGTTTCAAATACGGTCATAATTCAAGAAGGTGACGTTTGGTTTTTCTCGTGCGTTAAAAATCGAGAGAATATCATATCGAGCTGAAACTTCGGCTACAAAAGTTTGGTCAAAAATGAGGTTCATGGCAACTTTCACTTTGCTCCAAATGCATCTTTTACGCTTTGGCAGTATTCATATGCATAGACGACATGAGTCTTAGTTATTTTAAATGTATCAATGAAGACCTAATATTTACTTTTCTGTGACTTGGAGGAAAACCGAACTAATTAATTCTTATGATATTTATATACTCTGTGGCATGTACACTATGTACAAAAAAAAGCTTTCGATATTCATCGTGTTTAGCGGAACAATTTTATTGAATACTAACGGCAATTGTTTGTTGCACTCTACTGTATATCATGAATAAAAGCTCAAAGATAATAATTCTATGCAGTCAAGAAAGCAAAATGTTTTTTTTAATATCTGTTTCAAAGATCCTCAACATAAACGAATATTCATTGCTCATTTGACGTAGATGTGGTTGACAATGATTAGCTCAACTCTATGATGGCGAGCTTCGTCAATATATGGTTTCAAGATTTACTTAGAGAAAAATGTCCTTAATTGTAGTAAAACAGGTTTTTTTTGTATGCTTTTTGCTTAAATATACGTGTTGTCAGTAAGGACTTTATGCACTAACGCATTACACAGTATACTGGGTTCTAAATAAACTAAAAATTATTGCTAGACACTTTCCTACTCGTGTACCTCAAACAACAGGTAGAAAAAGTCTTAGAGAATTTATATTGTATGTACTCATACAAATAGAAGGCAAAAAGATAATAGATTCACGTTGTAAGTGTAGAGATTGTAATATGGGTCTTCGTGTGATTGACTGTTTTGAGAAGTTCCGGACTTCATTGTATTTTCAGTTTTTTTCTTTCTCATATGCTTTCTTTCTGTATGCTAAATGTTAGTTACGTTAGAGCGTTTGTGTATTTATTCTGTTTTTGCTATTCCAAAATAAACCAGGTGTATCTTCAAACTAAGACTTAGAAAAAACATTGTGGTCTTAAAACATAGTGCACTATGGATTTTGTTTTTTATTTCGGAGAATTTTTCATTCTTTTTGTTGTCATATTCATTCAAAATGATATAAGGATCGATAAGTTTTAATGTTTTTGTGGTCTTAAGAGAATTACCGATGTCATTAATAAAATCCTTTATTTTACAATCATAAGTTTTAACAAGGTCATTTTTATTATTGATAAGATTGAGCATGGATAACCATGGATTTAATAAACCATTAAGACGAAGATCATGAGATTGGCGTTTGATAGTAAGTTCATTAGCTGTATTAAATGTTGTTGCGACTTCATTTTGATTAGCAGTTAATCCATCAATTTCAATAATATATGTCATTGACGATACAATATTATTATTAAAAGCTTGTAATGGAGCAGTATCACTGTCATGACGAACAGAGTTGAGATTAAAACTACTTGTACAAATATCAAACATTTTACCTAAAACATTTTAATAAAGTTTTGATTGGAAAAGTTCATATAGAAAATGAATTCTAACCAGATATAGTACTAGTCAGACTTGTAAATAAACCAAAACTCAGGGTTAAAATATCCAAGACCTCGAACAGCTTCTTAAATATATCTTGTGATCGTTTTCGATCTGTATCATTATATTTCATAATCGAATTAAAGTATTTAGATAGTTTTGGAAAATCATAATTGGTGTTAATTGATTCTGAGGTCGAACAGCCACGCTCGTAAACGATCGTATACGGAGAAATACGACAAACTACATGGTCCAGTATTACGATTGTAGATCTTCGTGTCGTTTTTGGAGAAATACGGTGGTGTACGGAGAAAAAACTCAGGTAAAAAAAGCAGACGTCAGATCGTACGGACCCAGACGAAATCGTATGAAAATCGTACAAAAAAACGTAGTCTCAGAAATCTTACATCATATCGTACTATAAAATTCTAGAAAGATCTTATCACCACATGAAACTTTCTACAATTTTAGAGTAATATCATACTCGACAGCAAGATCTTTCAATAATCTTAAAGTACGATCTTATGTAAGATTTCTGAGACTCTGTTTTTTTGTACGGTTTTCATCGGATCTTATAAAATCATAGAAGATCAGAGTTATGATCTGATAAGATCTTACGCTCTGATTGCTCGACCTGGGANTTTTCGATATTTTCCTCTCGCGACCTTTTCCACCAGATCCTCACATCAAAAGCATAAGAACTCATTTCGAGAATTGGATATTTTCAACAGATAAAGAAGGAAAAAAGCGAACGTTTCCAAAGTGGTACGCAATACTGATTTTTTAATCCTGTTGTTCTTTAAAGACGAATGGGTCAGTAGTTTTCGAGTAAAACTTACTCTGCTAAATGTGGAATAAGACAGCGAATCTTTTGATAAAAATATAAAGCGTAAACTATAAGAAAAAAAAGCTGTTAGCGCAAACCCTGTGGGATTCAAATGCGAAACACAATGGAGCTGCTAACACTGGAACAGTGGAACTTTAGACTTTTGTCATACTCTGTAATAGTCCGTTGTTAAAGCGCTTGTCAGAGTCCATAATGATCCGTTCTTAAGGTATCTGTCATGATCTATGACGTTTCTCTAGTAACGACTGTTCATGGATGTGGCGAAGAGAAAAAGCTATTAGAAAAATCTTTGCGGGATTTAAATGTGAAATACGATTGAACTTACTGTTTTGTAAACGAAAGGATTCAACAATCTGCGTGTGGGTGTGGGTGTGCACACCCACACTCACACCCACACCCACACCCACACCCACACCCACACACACCCACACCCACCCACACCCACCCACACCCACACCCACACCCACACCGACACCCACACCCCGCCCCACACCCACACCCACCCACACCAACACCCACACCCCACCCCACACTCACACCCTCTCTTTCGTTCAAGTTAACTAATCATATCGAAGAAGAAGTAGGAACGAACCGTAGAGGGACATAGTGTATCGGGCAATCGAGTTTGGGACGAAGTGTGTGGAACGAAATGAGTGAGGAACAAAATGAATGGGACGTAGTGTAAGGGGACGAAAAGTAATGGGACGAAATGAGTGTCCACCAAAAGATCAAAAGAGAGAAGCAATGAAGAATGTAATAAGCGAATAGCTCATGTACCAGTAAAACGTTTGAGAAAGATAGATGAAAGAAAAAGAGACCGTGCTTAGCAACAAACAAGCTATAGTGGCTACAATTTTATATATATTCGTGGCCAACAAGCGAATTGGGAACATGGCTCATTGCAAATAAAAACTTGTTTCATATATTATTACATAAGCTACCCATATTCTATCAACATGCTTTAAACAATCATGCACTAATGAAGATATTCATTGAAGTAGAAATGGTGAAAATTTTTTTCTAAAACCCTTATTTCGTTGATAAATTATATCAAGAAGACATTGCATATTTTCAAAGTCTAAAGACCTCGAATAAACGTTTTTTTTACTTCTTACTCATGTCTTCACGTTTCAAAAAGATGAAGCAAGACACTTACACGCACATACTTAAATCTATGTTTGTGGAAGAACGAACAATACACATATCAACATTCGCAACTAGACACTCATGTGCCGACACGAAAAAAAAAGAAAAAGAAAAGTAAGTTCTTTCTTCTTCCTATGTTTTACTTATTCATTTCAATACTATTGAGAAAAAATAAAAGAAAACCTACATCTGAGTCATTTTTCTTTACAACATTTTAGCAAAGACAAAACATTTTGTTTTCATGAAAACAACTACAAGCGAATACAACGAAAAAACACCTATATTTACATCATTAAATGGTAAGAAAAAAAAATATTTTGTTTCTTTTAATAATTACTGTATCCTATTTATTTAATAAATTAGAAAAAGCTAATGATGATAAATTGAGTGTCTCCGATTTAAAAGAATCGATTGAAGGTTGTAAAAAGAAATCAAATGATAGTATATGTCCAATTTTAACATTAACTGACATTATTCAAGCATTAAATACAATAGAAATTCGTCAAAATTTATCTCGAAAAAGAACAAATTCTTCTGATAGTGATATATCACCAATGTCACCCGAACAAAGTAAATGAAGAAAATGAGATGCTTTTACAGATTAGTACAATCAAGAATTTGACTTTTCAAAATTGAAAATATTCGTTTCAGTGAAACTCAGATCATTACTGATAAGATTATATTGTTTTTTTTGTAATCAGAAAATATAAAGTAAACATTTAACAAATGTTAAGAGTGTTTATATGTGTTACTGAATACCTGGAAAATAAAATTTTAATTTTTGTGACTGATAAGAATGAAAATTAATAAAAGAAAAAAGAAGATCATATCTTATGCCGTTTTGTTTTTATCTTTACCGACTGCATGATAATTAGTTTTTCTTCACACATTCAAACATGAATTTTCTTTTGAGTTACGACGAAAAGTCTTTCTTGTTAACTCTAGAAATCTTCTTTTTTCATTTTAAAACATATTTATTTTCTTATTCTTGAACAGAAACACAATCAACTATTGAATATAATTGTTGTCGTCTCGTTCATCCCGATAAATCCTCTCGATTATTATTACCATTAGCACGTCGTGGTCGTCCACACGTTTCATCACGATCTCCACGTTTATTATGTAAAAATTGTTTTAAAATTAAACAAAAACAACAAAATGATATTCTTCAAAAACAAAACAAAAATTATCATGACGATGAAACAAATTCAATCAATATATTTGATACAATAACAGATTTAGATAAAACAATTGAACAAGAAAATCAACATCAAATGATGATACAAGATATTCCACATGAAATTGAATTTTCATTAATGAATGATAATGAAAAAAATGATGCAAATAATTCTGAATATGAATCAGCTCAAATGCTTGTTTGGAAAATTAATACATCAGATAATCATAATCAAACAAATACAATTGATGCTGCTTATGACACTGGTTCATTAACGAATAATGAAAAAAAAAATTTACTTCAAGAAGCTATACAAAAATTACAAATTGTACTAGGCAATCGTTCATCATCAACAACAACAACTATACCAGATATTGATTTAGACAAAATTGAATTTACTTATCGGGCTTTACAAACAACAGTTAATATTCTTTCATCATCACTTGATTCACTATAAAATTGAATGAACTGAGTCAAAGTCAAAAAACAACCAAGCAAGAAGGATGATCATCAGAAGAAAAAAAAGTTTATTAATGTAAAATAGACTTAATGATAGAAAAACAAAAAGAAAATCTCATTTTGTAGCACTGTAAAAGAAAATTACAATACAGTGCCTTATTTTATATATATTCAAAATAACATGACTTGTCATAAACAGGATATATATATATATATATAAAACCAGATCATGATACATAATCTATATTCTTTGCTTGGTTTTTCTATCTAATGGTTGAACTACTCTTCACAAGATAACGAACGTTTAGAACAAACAGGAAATAGTAAAAGATCTGCTTTGAATTTATAACAATATAATATCAACTTTTTATTCTCTATATCTTCAAAATTAGTTTTCCTTTATGACAATTCAATGTTCGATCATTCTTTATGAATATTAATCAGACAAGTCAATGATTTTTTTTTTCTGTATATCTTCGGGCATATAAAAAAAAGCAAACTGAGATCGTTTAATTAATTTCACTTGAATAATTTTCTTATTTTTCAAGATTATCAAAGTAAAATTGTTATCTTTTAAGCCATTACCTTTGAAATTGGTCAATGTAAATACTTTTCGTGCAATAGTGTATCATAAATTTATTTTTGAATAAACAAAATTCTAAAAAATAAAAAGCACTAAAAGTCAACGTATATATATTGCACGATTAATAAAACGACAATATTAATAAAAAAAATATTGTCATATATAATGATGAATATTGTATTTGACCGGTATCAAATACATTTTGAAGTAAATATGCTGCTGCTACTGAATCATGTTGTCGTGGTAATCGATGCAATTCTTCTTCTAAATAAATTATTCAAAGAATTATATAAATTATTGAGTTTTATTTTTGGTAAACTTACTTGTACGTCGTCTGACTAATATAGTAGTTTCTTTTTCATCGTATTTACATGTAAAATTAGCTTGAATAAAATTTTTATGCTTTTTATTTAAATAAACAGTAAGACGTTGTGTATTCAATGATATTATTTCAATGTCATAATCATAAATATCATTATTTAATAATTCTCCATTAATAAACCAATTGAAATTATTTAAATTTATTTCTACATTGCATAATAATGAACATGTTATTGAAAATGTTCGATTAACCGGATAGAGAAGTAAAGGTGATGATGGAGATATATATAGATGAGCTAATATTCAAAAAGCAAAAAGAAAAACATCAAACTTTCGATTGAAAAAAAAAAAAAAGAATTACACATACATTCAACAAATAATTTAATACTACTATGTTGACCACTTGAACTGGATTTACATGTATAAATTCCTTGATCTTCGAGTGAAACATTATTTATTAATAAACGTGATAGTAACGATGATGGTGATGATATAAGATTAAAACGACCTATTGTTGCATATTCTGGAAAAAGAATATCACCAATAGCAATAAAACTTAAGTGTGATTGTGATGAATTTGGACGAAACCATGAAACCTATTTAAAAAGAAAATAATAAATATTATTCGAATAATTTCTTGTTTGTTTTTTGCTTCTTTGAAAATATACCACATCATCAGATTTTTTTTTCGAACTTATTGGACATGTAAGTTCAATATCAGCTCCACATGTAACATGCATTCTTGAACCATAGACTATAGGATAAAAAAATAAATTATGATTATGATTATGATTATAATTATATTTTCCTTTAGAATTTAATTGTAACTTACTTGTAAATGATAATGATAGTAATATGATCGAATAGACAATGACTAAGTCAGAAATTTTTTGAAATAATGAATTGATATTGATGTTCGACATTATTATTGATGAGAATCTGCCACATTGCGTCTGAAATAATACATATACAATACACTAGAGAGTTCGTATTGTCTCGGGCGTGATTAACTTTTTAGTATAGTGTAGACGTCATTTAAATTGCTCTTTCTTTTCTTTTTTTTTATTCTCTCTGTCTCTGTCTCTCTCTCTCTGGTTGCTACACAAATACATACACACGCCCCTGTTCAAATTTCGATTTTGTCGTCGTCTTCGTTTGATCGCTTTCTTCTCTCAATCAAAATCTCATTTGTTATTTGGCTACTACACATACTATACGAGACGATGATGTTAACCCTGATATCGAATTAGTCCGCCTTGGTCAAGTGAGCGTATAGACATGCATAGATTTTTATTCACCTACTGATTTGATTATGTTCATACCGATAAGTCACTTTAACAGACTATTGTAATATTAAAAGAAAAAATGCAAAAGTCAAGAAAAATTTTATTCATTCTCATACACATTTTGAATCATTCGTTATCCTTTTTTCTGTTCCGTCTTCTAATGATTAGACAATTAATTGATGTGTATATATAAATGAATGTTTACACGAAATTTGATTCTCTGTTACTTTTACCATATGTCAACAATAGAAAAAGATAGAACAACTGTTCAGTCTGTCTCATCTTTGCATATATATATATATATATTCTCTTATGAGCTCAAAGAGCAGACAACAGATCAACCAAAAATAAAAGAAAATAATAACGAGTCAATTCTTTTGTCACTGTTAGCATTTGAACGTTTTTTATTAGGCAAAATGAACAGACCTAACACCTCATATATAGACAAAAGATTCTTTAATAAGACAAGTCGGAGTGAAAGAAAGAAAAAAACAATTATTCTTATATTATTCCAGTTAAATTAATGATGACAAAGAAAATGAGGACATCTATTTAGATCGATATAAATGATGAATGGCATATGGTTTTGCAACGATATGAAAAGAATAGGATTTTGTTTCATATGATGTCTGAACATTATACACGTGTTCATCTCATGTATATATGTATATGCTCTTGAATTCACTAACAGCATTCGTGATGCAATACATACATATAAATAAGTAAAACCAAAGACATGATCAATCATCACTCATATAAAATGGACTTTTCATTTTTTTTCTCTTCTTCCTATGTTTCTCTTCATTTCTTTTTACAATTCAAATCAAATGTTGAGTATGACGGTCAATATATGTAATCAATGCAACAGATTTCCTTTCACAAAAACAAAACCTTAATATATGTCATGTCTAATCGATGTTCAATCGAATGGTGTTGTATTCATACATACATACTTGCATAATAAGTAACAGCTCGCTCTTGTCTTTTCTTTCTACTCATATAAGTACATACATACATATATATATATATATGAAATAAAATGAGAGGAGTCAAATTCAATTCATATCATCAAGAGCAATTATCATGCTCAATCAATTCAATTGTTCATCATCGATTGACTTCTATCGTTTTTTTTTATTCTCTCCTTGCCTGTCTGTCAGTCACGGTAATGCACATAAATACAGATCAGACAATTATTGATAAATATGTATGAAAACGCAAAGTGTCAACTTAACTTTTGTCACCAAAAAAAGAAAACGGAAAATCACTTACTTTGGAGAAATAAAATATAAATTGTTACTTTTGCAACCTTCACATCAACATTGTTAAGTACTGCCTATGTCGTTTCCGGTTGTAGCCACTCGACGGATAGAAAGAAATATATATATATAGATAGATATAGAGATGCGTATCCTGTGTGTTTATGATTCTATAACATTTTTGTTAGAGTCAGTTCGAAGGACATTTTGATGATAGCGTGTTCTTGTAGCTATCTAGCCGGCGGAGAGCTCAAACAACAAAAAGGAAGAAGAAGAAGAAGTAGAAGAAGGACGTTGTGGACTCGTTCAGTCGAATTACGAGAAATGATGAGCAACAAAATGGACGCGCGTTTCTCTAGTTCTCGATTATGCGTCAAGAGACCGAGGGAGAGAGAGAGAGAGAGAAAAGGCGAAAAAAAAGTGCGTGAGAGAGAACAATGTCTTTTCTCTTTCTTTGAAACTTACAATGAAGGTAATTCACACGTTCTCAAAGCCATTTTTTCCTTTCTTGGTTAACTCAACTAGCCGCAAATGTGATCGTATTCACCTGAATGAACTAAAAGTCTTTTAACGAAAGACGGAAATCGAGAAACTTCCGCTATGGAGTGACGGTTATCTTCGTTGTTTCAATTGCAAAAAAAAGTCAAAATCATTTGCTGCCTAACTTTTTTTTTCTTATTTTATTCTTCTACTCTCACCTTATAGAAACGGAGTGATAGAATGTTTGTTCAATCAATTAAAGAATAACAGAAACGAGTGGTTTGGAGCATAAAAACTTATAAACGATAAACTGTTCAGTTCGAAGAAAAGAAAAGAAAAGAAAAAGACTATAAAGAACTTAGTGATGGAATTGCAATCATATAATATAAATTTAAAAGAACCACTGGCATCGAATGCTGAATGGTTTCAGGAAAAATCAGCACAAGTAGGTGTTATTTATTGTAACTTTTCATTAAGATATTGATCGCATGACTCGTTCTTCTCAATGATTAATCTTGCTCACAATAGGAGGGATTACTGGTGAGGATGGATGAGTCGCTATGAAGAATGCCTGCCCGCCCCTGTGCTTAGAACACTACAGTCACGTCACGACATGATGCCTATTATGGTACGCTTACCTTTCTATGATGTAATGTAAGATACTGATGATTTCCTTGTTGCTATTGCTGTTACTGTTATCCACATGTATATGTGTATGTATGTTGTTTTCTCGTAAGGCTTGATAAGAGAAGAAGAAGAAAAAAAAAGACGAAGGAATTTCATCATATACATTTATTACTTAATTGATAATAACGATGTGAACAAAAAATATGATAAAATTCTACTCATCATATTATTAATTGAAGACGATGCCAAACATATGTCTGATGTGTCGTCTTTCTTTTTTCTGTTAGTCTATTTATTTGATTTTAACTAGATCGGACATAACGATAGAATAATTCTAGGTTAATGTTAAATTATATCATGGACATACGAAATCTATAAAAACATGTCAATTGATTGAAAATAAAAATTGGATTCTCACAGGATCAAATGATAATACAGCTCGTTTGTGGGATTTTAATAATGGACAAGAAATTTATAAATATGAACTTAATCATAATATGGCAGCTGTGTCAGCAGTCAGAATCAATCATGATACAACTCGGTATAATCAATTATAAAAATTATATAATAAATCAATAAATCAATAAATCAACTTCTATTATAGTTTGTATTCATCTGGTTGGGATAAGACGATTCATTGTTTTGATATAGAAACTGGTAAACAAATAGTATGTTAGAAGGTTTTTTTTTATTTCAAGTTCAAACTTATTTATTTCTTTATATTCAAGTGGCAAGGTATTCAAAAACATATTATAACAAGTTGTCAAATATCACATGATGGTTATAGTTTATGTTCAGGTTCTGATATCGATGGTATTATAACTATATGGGATACAAAAACTGGTCTTGTAAAAACTTCTATTCATAATTTACATGAATCAACTATAACAAGTTGTCAATTTAATATTACAGATGATCGAATTGTATCTACATCATCAGATAAAACAACAAAGTTTTTTGATCTTATTTCTCATCGTCATACAGTGACATTAAGGTATAGGAAAAAAAGAAAAGAAAAGATATATCTAGATTAGCTCACTTGTTATTCGATGATGCAAGACAAGAAAACAGTACAATATATTGAATCGTCGATCAATCGATCTTATTACAACATAACTATCAATGATATAGTTAGTAGAGAGAATTTGTTAACGAACTAGTTGATCTTTGCCTATGTGATGTAACTGAATATGTTTATAAAAAATAGCTGACATAAAGAAGTTAACTTGTCTGATTTAATGAACTAAACAAATCGTGTCAGGATCAAAAGACAGGATGTATGTATATTTATTACAAATGTTTCCGTTAAATATCTAACCTTGAGACAAAAAAAAAGTGTTTGAACAATTAATACTATATATAGAGTTCTATTTATTTTGTAATTAATTACGATGATTAAGAAAAAAAGAAGTCATGTCGATACATTTTTGTTTTGTTTTTATTTTTAGAGATCATAAAAGTGTTGTATCCAACTGTACATTTAATGAGTATGAACATTTATATGCAACATGTTCATGGGATAAAACGATTCTTCTTTATGATATTACAACAGGGCGTTTTCGGTAAGACAATTAGCTTTTGCCATTCATTGAACAAGAAAAAAACTCTGTTGGTGTTCCAATTAATGAGTTGACCTTTTCAAATATTCACTCCTCCTTTTTCCGCACTTTTTTTTAATTTTTACATATTGAACATGCCATGTCAACTGTTCAATATACCATGTATATATTTATATATATATATATAGACATGAAGGACCGTTAATGTTACCTAAATTACATGAAGGATCGATTGCTGCATGTCACATGTCAAATGATGGGAAAGTTCTTGTCACTGGAGGCTATGATTTAAGAGTAATACTTTGGGATATTGAGAATATGACATGTAAACTTGTATTACGTGTACGAAAGCTTTATTTTTTTTTTTGCTATAAAAAAAACGATTTAATTTGAATAGGGACATCGTGATTGGGTCAATGATGTATGTTTAACAAGTGATAATAAATGGATTATTTCAGTGTCAAATGTAAGTTATAGATAAAAATAAAATTTTTATTGTGCTTATTTTTGTTTTGTGTGTTTATTAAGGATTGTGATATTCGATTATGGTATATTGCAAATTGTGATGAAATAAAAAAAGATATAGAAAAAGGAAAAAAATTTAAAAATATAAAATTTACTGATGTAAGGTTCTATCATATTTCTTTTTTTGAATTTCTATATATAAATAAATGTTTAATTTAGTGTATCAAATGTGGAAAAACATTTTCAATAAATAAATTAATATATGATAATTTATCAAAAACATTTTTATGTGTTTTTTGTCATCGAGAACAATAATATTTCTTAATCTAATTTATAGATGAAATATTTTTATTTATCAATAAACAAAAAATAAAAATAAAAATATATTTCACTTACGATATAATTCTTCTAGCTATTAATAGTTTCCAATATTAGACAAACAGAAATGTTATATTTATATTTAGTAGAGACATGAAGAATGATAGATAATAATTTTCATCCGGCTCACGGAAGTATTCCTCTTTCATCAAATGGATTATATATATCGAAAAAGAAATCTTTTCGAAAGCTTCATATTGCAAATTAATATTGTTTTTCTTTCCGGTTTTCAATTTGAGATATTTTTTCTTTCTTTAACCGGAAGTTAAAAGATAATCTTCTTTTCAACATGACAATTTATAGCACTGAATAAAAATAACGAATAGAGTCTTGGTAAAGCATGACATACTTTGATTATGAAAATATTTTGCTTTATTAAATTTTGATTTGAGGGATATCTTAGATAGATAGATAAAATAGATTATAACAGCCAGCAGCATAATTTATGACGGAAGCGTGGCGCCCTTCTCTTGCTGCTGACATCAGTTGATACGATGCTTCTATCAGAGTTGTAATGGGGCGAGAACTTTTGAACTGCTTCGATCCGGACAGTTTATTGGATCATTATTAATCGATTGATGGAAATGGCTTCACAAAAGGTATTCATTTTGCTTTTTGCAATCAGGTTTTTATAAATCGCGAGGAAGAAAAATAGTGCTATATTCATTTATATCTATTACGTTTCTCTCAAAGATGAATATGTGATATTTCTATATATAGCAAGTAAAAAAAGAGTAATTTATCCATCAAGTGATTGCTAAACTGCATATCTTAAATTTTCTCATTCAGCTTTTTTCAGACAAACCTGATGTTTCTTCTCGAACGATGATCCAAACCTGAATTTGATCTTTACTAAATACGTTTAGCTCAAATAATATAGTTTTGATTGTGCGTTTTTACAATATGAAATATACTTTGATTACAGAAAAATAAAAAATTGTGGACGAACAGAAGAAAATAAGACGGATAATTTTTGAAACAACACTGCTTGATTACTTTGAGAGGAGAAAGCAAAACTTGTATTCACTCAACAAGCTTTATCAAAGAAAATTGCGTATCTGCAAAATATATTTCAACCGATGAAGACCAATTATAATTCAGGATCCTCTTGCTTTTGAAAGTTGTATATAGTTTGGTCAATGGTAGACTTTTTGATATAAAAAAATTATTCTAACTCTATAAGAGTTTAGAAAAATCTTACACACAAAATATGGCCATACCTCTATTATCCTAGAGAAAACTATCTTTTTTTAGTACAATTTCAAACAAGATGAAACTTCAACAGAGTATTTTTCTTTGTGTAACATAAAGTTTTTTCACATTCTTTTATCTCAGCTGTATTTTAAGAGAAAAATAAGTACATATTTTGAATCAGCATGAAAAAACTCCATCGAATGATGTGCCATTTGTTAATTTTTAAAATAAAAATTTTTCTGATAAAAGTTTATAGTAAGCATTCTATCATGAATTTTTCATCGAAAATGTTCTTCTTTTACGAATTTCACTTTTTTCTCATTCAATCTTTTTGTTAAATACTGTAAATTAATATTTTGATGAAAAAAGATGCACTTCGAACAGAAAATAAGGCATATCCACTTGCTCAATAAACATTGCCAACTGTGCACTGCTTCTTTTCCAGGGACTGAACTACTCTGTGCTCCCGTGTCTCCTTGCTGAATTACGCCTTTGATAATAATGAATAGACTGATAAGACCAAAAAGAAAAAGTCATCAATTCTCGCTCACATCATTGAAACTCATCACGATAGCATCCATCATAAACTCATAAAGATAGATTTTGTTGCTATCATTCATCAAAATATAATTATGTCATTGATTAGGTTCAGCCTAATGCAATGATTCAATGGATTGTCTCTTTAATAAGCCTAACCAATCAAATGGCTTGTAATTCCTGTGTTAAGTGCTGCTGTAAACATGATAGTATGAAACAAAAAGAAAAAAGAACCTTGAGAATAGTATTGTGACACAAATTAATTATGCACGGAAAATATAACTATCATCTCAAACACTGAATTAACTCTATTTTGTAGAGTTTCATTATTTTGATGAGAAAAAGAAAAAGCTGACAACTCACGTAGTAATAAAAGTTTTAAGTAAAAACTTACATTTCTGTAATATTAGACTCTATTTACTCTTGAAGAACAAGAAAATTTTCCAAAGTTCAATTTGATGAAAATGATTTTGTAAGAGAACAATTTTTGTGTTTTCTGTTTTGAAAGAATCCAGTTGTTATACTGACTTCTATGTTATAATAAGCTTTGATAATTCAATGTAAAGTTTCAAATTATTTGCTTGAAAACTTTCCGTGTGCATGATGTGAGCTTTTTTTCTTCTTTGTTAGACATCCGACGGCATCAGTCACGCAAATGCATATTGTGCACATATTAAAGAAGAAGAAGAAGAAGAAGAGTCAGCAGACATGCTTGCTCTTCCTCTCATTTTTTTCCTTATTTACTGACTAGTAAGTTTGCTTTCTTTTTTTTTGATTCATCATTACGATGAAAGTAGATGCATCTCAACCATTGTCTATGGCGGATGGAAATAATGCATTTAATATTGAACAAGATCAACTCAGGATTAAAAATTATTTTAAAGAATTAGGAGAAAGTTTTAATTTGATTTATTTAAAACATAAATGGTTTGATGAAAAATGTAAATACAGAATTTTTCGTTTTTAATTAATTTATTTTTGAGTTATTTTTCAAAATTTATTTAGATTGGAAATTAGCTTTTTGTTCATCACCATTTGATTTTATTAATAAATATCCAAATATTTTTCTTCTCTATCGAACAGTGTTATTTGTTATAACAATATTTGATCTTATTCATGGTATAGTTATAACACGTCCTGTACATGAATGGGCAATTTATTATACGCATCTAACATTGTTAATAACTTTTTTTGCAATTATATTTCAATTTTTAATAACTTATCGGGTAAATTTTTATCATGGAGATAATATTGTTCCACGTCATTCTTTACAATATATTCATATAGTCTTAATTTTGATATCATTAGGATCTGGTTTTATTGTTAGTCTTGTTTATTGGTCAGTTCTTTATAATCCAACAACACGATCATATTATCTAAAAATAGTTCTTGATCATGGAATTTTATGGTTTTTATTATTAATTGATATATTTCTTTTTACACGTTTACCTGTTTATATGATTGATTGTATACCAATTATACTTTTTTCTACTATTTATGGAATGTTTACTCTTATAATATTTATTTTTAAATTAAAATTTAGTAATAATCGAATTGGATATATTTATCTAGCATTTAATTTAAATAATTCACCAATACGTGTATTAATTCAAATGTTTGTATTGATATTTATTTTACCAATTGTAATAATGTTTATTTTATGGAATATATTTCGTTTACGTCGTTCAATTCACGTAAAAATAACAAATGAAAGAGAAGAATCAGAATTAAATGTTATTGGTTAAGTAAAAAAATTAATGAATATTAGCTCATGATGAAAACTTCTCATTATATTAACAATTTATGATTTTTAAATAAAAACAAGCATTTTTAATTAAAATAAATATTTGCATTTAAACTCATACAACAAAAACTATACAGAGTTGTGCAGTTTTTCTTATCAATTAAGTTAATCTGTAATTGTTTTTTTATTCAGAAACCATGTTATGAACGGATATTCTTTCATCGTTTTAATAAATGAAAAACAACTTATATGAAGTTATTGTTCTTGGCATAAAGATAATCATAACAAAATTTTATTACCTCAATTTGGATCATCGATATCAGGATTCTAGAAATTTGATCTTTTATTTTCGGATGCTACGAATGATCTTAAAAATCTAGTTTTAATTAACAATTATGAGAATATGAGAGAAAAGAATGGTTACAGGAAAAATGCGAAACTCATTTGCGTGTATCTGAACTAAAATTATTTCTAATTGAGATAAATTATTCATCAGTGTGATGGATGTTGTAATTCTGCTTTCATTTCCTCTATGTGTCTATTTCATATGAATATCTTCTGTCATTATCGTATAACATTCAAACAATTATGTCATTTCAATTTTAAGTCGTAACAATTATTTTATTATGATCATAATGATCGCAAAGGTTTAACAATTATTATTGTATGAAATTTGTTTAAAAGACAAAAAGAAGCTTGACAATTTCTTTAATCTAATGGCTTTAAAGTATTGAATATGAAAATTTTCATTACAATAATGCTAATGAATATATGAAGAATTTATGGTGACAATCAATTTTAATACTAATAACTTCTTTTAGCACAAAAGCATTTGAAAGGTGAAAATTGATTTTAAGATTTGACGCTTGAAAATTCATCAGAAATTGTATAATGCTACTGTAGCTTTATTTCAAGAACTATTCTTTTACCAGTATCGATCAACTATATGAAAGTTGAGCACAGCGAATCTTTCGCACGGCTAATTAGCGTCCGAAATAACCAAATTTAATTTTCACTTAAAAACATGATTACAAAAGAAAGGAACAGAAAAAGTATCCTGGGTAGTTCAAATTTATCTTAACAAGAATAATGCTGAAATAGATTGCTAGCAGCCTTATGATTATCTTATCGTATAAATTATGAATTGTAATTAGAAGGCATAATCCTGTCAATGTTTTCATCTCGTTAAGCTACACTCGCTTTTTAGAACAGTAATATTTCAAACACAACAGCTCAAGTATACGATATCGGAATCACTTATTCTCAATAATACTCAGACATTTATACTTCAGTCGAATATTCACTTCTGCCACTAAAAATCCCATCTTTGATGATATGAGATGGTTATTCATACATTCGAGATCGTCAATTCGACGAAAACACTTATTGGAGTTGTGAAAATAATAAAAACGGTAATTGTCATTATCACATATATACATACAATCATTCAGTCATTGTTAAACTTTATGCTGTTTATGTAACAAATTGTAATCGTGATTCAATAAAAATATCACTAAGAAAATTCCAGAAAAATCTTGTCAATCGTGTAAACAATACATAAGAGTCAACTGATATTGTTTCATCACAATGTTTATCACAGTTACTCGATCAAGCACATTTACATTTACGACCATTAGATTATAAGATCTTGATAAGAAATATGAATACTTGTAGCATCATATTTATCAACACGATAATCAAAATGAATTGTTCTCTTGTGCTCTAGTTACATATGTAAATATTACAGTTTTTAAATTTGAAAATAAAATAAAAATTGTTATGTCATTTATCTTTTATTCTTTTTCTTATTGTTCATCGAAGTGAAATTTAGATTTTGTTATTTCGTGCACAAACTACTCTTGCGGAAGATTTGTCGTGCGCATCTTTCGCGATCCCATATACATCATATAGCAAAAAAAAGAAATTGGCTCTGGTCCAGAAGGAAATAGTTGATTTCATGACTCTGTACACCAAAATAGACAAGCAAAGTTACCTTTATGTTACCAATTAACGAATAGCGGGGTAACGAAAATTCGTAGATTTGATTCATTCGCTAGGCAATAGGTATTGGAGGACAACCATGACTTTATTGTAAAGATTTATCAAAGGTTTTTTGAATTCGAATCTGTAATCAATTTCATGATCAAGTTTCATAAAATAGATTATGCTGTACATCAAGATATCAACTATACAATTGTGAGAAACCGATTACAGATTTGCTTTTCAAAAGTCTTTGATGGAACTTTATTAAGTATCATTTATTTCGAAAAAATAGCTTTTTCTTGATAAACTCATAAATTCTCCATTACCAGATAACTGGTAACGTAACAGTAATTTACCAAGGTTAATATTGACTATTATGACTTATGTAGAAGGATCTTCTGCAGAAGATTGTCGATATTTTTTAGAAGCAAAGAGCTAAAAATTTGGCAGAAGGTGCTTTTACCCTTGAAGTGTTACAAGTGGTGACTGAAGAGGACGGAATAACGAAACCCACCGTGATTCAGCTCCTTCCACAGCAGACGATCTATCGCTAGACCGTCCTTCTTCGAGACCTGTGTTAATCCTACCCATCTCGTAATAACATTATTTGCTTATGTATATTTTACTAGCTGTTGTTAGAGAAAGACAAATGGTGTTTTAAAATCCGATTTCTGTCCAAAGTAACTACGACGCTATGAAAAATTGGCAGAAAATATGAAGAATTTTAGCATAGAGTCGAACATTTTCAAGAGGCAGCTCTATATCCTCCTAATTGAGAATCTTGCTTCTGTATCATTCAAATGAAAACACAGAGTGATTTGAAATATTATCAAGAAATAACGAAAGAAAAAATAGTTGGTTCCAATGCTACAAAATCAACTTTTTCCCGCCTGGTTCTCGTCCCTTTTTACACAAATAAAGTTTTTTCTAATGCATACTCTAAATTATTTGCTATAAAATCAATAGAACCATTATTATTCTCGTATCGATACGTTTAATAAATTTATTATTATGTTATTTTAAAATAAAAAAGAAAACAATTACAGAGCATATTCTGATACAAACACTGGCATATACTAATTTTCATTCATACGTAAAATTATCTTTAACAATCCTCATCATCGACTACGTTCTTCATTACATTTTGGAGCATAGACATATTGATAGCAGGACTTGTTGGTGACTTTGGTATCGGTTTTGTACCATCAATAATATTTAATTGTTTAAATTGATTTCCTAAACTATCATCAATAACACGACTGATTTCTACGCCTAAAAGAAAAATTTGATTAATTTCTTTTGTTTTTGTTTAAATCAATTTTTAGAAAATACTTTTTGTTTGTTTTCGAACTTGTTTAAGTTTATTATATGTTTCATAAATTTTAATAAATTTTTGTAAATTAGTTTTCTGTTGAACTAAATTTCGATGATAATCCGATTCAAAATGTTCAATCATTAAATATTCATTTGAAAATATTTCTAAACATACTTTACATGAATATTTTGCTTCATTTTCACCAATTTGTTTCCATATAGATAATTTTTGATTATGTATATTATTATTGGATTGAAAATGTATGTCAACATTATTTTCACCATGTAATAATAATTGACATATTTCACAATAAGGTTTATAACCACGTGGATGATTCCATTCAAGTAAAATACGCATTGTTTCATGACTTATTATAAATGATGGTGTTGCAAAAGATAAATCTTCTGAAATATTATCATTTGTTGTGGTAAATGATGGACGAGTATTCATTGCTGGAGTTGATGGACTCGTATTTGTTGATATAATTGATTGTTCGGAAGATTTTTGAGATTCATTTAATTTGACTTTTTTTATATGTTTAGCACTGTTTAAATGTTGCTCATATGGAGCTTTACCGTTACAGGCAATATCACAAATTTTACAAAAATAATCAGTTGACATCTAAAGCAAATAAGTTTTAGGAGAATTTCATCATGGATTTATCGCGTATGATGTGTGAAGTCTTAAACATATTCGAGATGGGTAAACGCCTATCACTAATAACGGCTAATTTCATAGTTTTTATTTTATTTGAAGGGTAAGAGTTCTAGGATTTTATACTTTTCAATAAAATTTAGGAATACTCTTGAAGAACTAATACTTTTGGTTTGTATTAAAAAAATGTAGCGTTTTCTCTAGTGTCATGAAAAAGTATGAGAGATTTTGTCTATATTTCCCTCAATGTATATCGTTATTATGAAATTTAAATCAGTAATATGTTTCACTTTTGCAGTATTAGCAGCCATTTTGATATGTTCTGACGAAATGGAAATGGAAATGCAAAAATGTCAAATCTAATAATAATTAGAGTTATAAAATGGTCCTGTATCTTCATTTTACCGACGATTCAAAGTACTTGTTGTGATAAAAACAAATCACGTTCGGAAATATATCAGTTAGTTGATCTTTTCAAAGTGTCGAACGAACGCTAATAAAACAGTAGGAAGACATGTCAAGGATTTTTAAACCTATAATAACGATATAAATTGAAGAAAATATGGACAAAGTGTCTCATATTCTTTTATGACACTGAAAAACACTGCATTTTTTTTCCTTTATTAAAATCAAAAATGTTAGTACTTCAAGAGTATTTATGAATTTTGTCTTTAAAGAATGAAAACTTATAACTCTAGTCTTTCGAATAAAAAAAAACTATGGAATTAGTCTAGATCAGTGATGAACTCTTATATATTTCAAAAGTGACTATGACTTTTGTGAGACTCCCTATACTTAAGCAGAATATGCGTCATAATTGTGTTGTTTAAAACAAAAAAGTCTCCTAGGTATAACAATAGTGTTAATTCAATTCAATTAATTTCGTTTTTGAAATTTATTATTATAGGAAGGTTAAATAAATAGAGTTATAAATAATTGCTAATCAACCAAATGGTAGAAATAAAATTTTCATTAACAAAAGAATCTGAATAATATTTATCTAAGAAATACATATAATCGAAGGACAAAACAAAGACGGAATCTATCGTTCTCAAACGGCACATCAGACGACAAGAAGGTTGTAAAGATTTGTTTGTTTCATTCGTTTATCCTTGTCTGTCTGTCTATCTATCTGTCTGGATTTCTTCAACCTTCATATGACTGTAATACATTAATCGATAACTAATGAATAAACTGTGTTATAGCCTTCAGTATTCAAGGAATAGAAATAATTTTTTTTGTCTTTTCCCAACCCAAAACAATATATATTTTTTATTCGCCAAAACCAACTTCAAATAATATAATAAATAAAAATATACTTTTACGATTGACATCTATCCACAAAAGTCAGATGTCAGTCATGTTTTAACTTTGTTTTTCATTTCTATTTTGTTGATATTGAATAAGTGTATGACCAAATTCTTCTCCAATCTTTTGAACATAATCACTTCGATAGACTTGATTAATATGTTCTTGTTCAAGACCTGTTATACCTTTCATTCCACCAATAATAGCACCAATCATTGCTGCATTACTATCGGTGTCACCACCTATTTCACTAGCTAGTATTAATGTATTAAAATTTGGTTCACATGTTGGTAAACATGCAATAAGACCAATTATCATTGTTAAACTATTAACACAATAATAAGTACCACCATTACTAATATCAATAATTGATCTTTCATCGATTTGAGATAATAAATTTAACTCTATATAACGTTTTATTCGTAAACTTACAAGATATTTATCATCATTTAATTCATATTTTTTTTCATATTTAAGACTTAATTGATAAATATATTCAAGAAAATCATTTGATATTAGATTTTTCTTCTTAAATAAATAGATACACATATGAACATATATGCATGCTGTAGATAATGCAACTGAAGTAGTATGTGTCATTCGACAAATTGTTTCAATTTGATGATCATCTGCATTGTCACATAAACTATAGTAGAAAGCAAGTGGTGCTAATTTCATTAGAACCCCATTTCCTTCTGCTTGATTACCACTATCAAGATAAGTATGAGTACCATTAAATAACCTTTCAATTGCAATTTTTGTTCCACCCCAACCAGCAATAGATTCTTTCCATTCAATTATATGTTCATTGGCTATAATTAACATCAAATCTTCATTGGATTGAAGATATTTTGTTATTGCTCTCATCATTGCCAATGTCAATTGTGTATCATCTGTCCATCGTCCTACTTGCCAATCGTTTGGTATATATGGATGATTAGTCACACGAGTATATAATGTTTTTTCATCTTTATTTTGTAAATCAATTATTTGTTGTCGTGTTAATGTTTCATATGCAATACCTTTTGCATCGCCAATCGCTGTACCAAGTGCTATACCAATTGTTCGTTCAAGAATTTCATTTGAATTCATTATTAATTCGAAGTTTTATTACAAGTTTTGCCTATGTAGAAAAAAGTATTTGTATACGTTAAAATATTTAACTGTGAATCATTTTTATGTTGACATGCAAGGTTTTTCTTTTCTTGATTCTAATCAATCACTTATAGGAATTTTTTTTTAAATTCTTACAAAAAATAGCCATAAATAGATTTGCATATTATATTATTTGACTTAATTGGTATAATACTTTTATCATAAGATTATCGATCTTTCCTATAATAGTTTAAAAAAATTTTTTATTCAAGGTCCTTTGACAACAAAAACCTTGTATGCATAAAAAGAGTGTCTCGGATATTTATTTGTAGAAATAAATTTTCATAAGAATCTTTTTGGTTTTTATTTTTATATAAATAATAAAAATACGATATAATTTATAGCAATAACAAGAATTATTATTGTTAACTTACTAATTTTTATTTAAAAACCTTTTTTTTTTTCTTTTATAAGAATCGTTATTTATGCAGTTAAGGACGAATGTTTCTATTAAAAAAATAAAATAAAACGAGTAAACTTATTATTATTTTTTTTTATTCTTTTTTCTCTCCTCAAGCCTTGTTGCTTTTTAATGGCATTGTATGCACACAAGGTTTTTTGATCGTTCTTTAGTGCATGAGTACATGATGTTTTTGCTTTCAGTTTCTTCACTACTTGTTCTTTCTTATCCAAGGTCTAAATAACAACATATACGATGAGAGTAATAACAACAACAACAACAACAAAAGAGTTCTCTTATTTCTATCGTCAGTTCGTACTTATTGAAAAAACAAAAAGTGAAAAACAAAATAATATATGCAATCGCTCGTAGAGGAAAACACAAAAAAAAGAGAGTAAGAATGACGGATGTTTTTGAAGTTTTCTCTGTCAACAAGCAAGACAATCATATAAAACAGCAACGTATGTGTGTGCGTAAAGCAAAAACACGACTTCACCTTCACCGACGAGGATGAGAAAGAGAGAGAGAGAGAAAGAGAGAGAGAGAAACAGAAAGAGAGGCAGAGAACGGAAAACAAGAGCGCGCGGAAAACAAGAATGACAGAAAGAGAGAGAACAACTTGTTTTTGCTTAGCTAACGGAATGCACTCGGTTTTTTTATTAAGATTATTTATTTGTTGTGGCAACTAAATTCATATAAGTTCGCGTTCGTTTATGCGGTGTTTATGTGCGATTTTGACATTGTAAAAAAGAAAAATGACATGAAATTGTGTGATCTTTCAGCTTGTATATTTATGTGAGTATATAAATGTAATGTAACCGATCGTCTAACTTTAATAATGTGCGAAATTCAGAGAACCTTGAGACATATAAGCTTATCGACTATTGTCACAATTGTGATACACGTATATACATCAAGAGGTTATCATATCGTGCCAAGGTCATACACTTTCCAGTGTGACGTATGCAGAGGTGTGTATCCTTCATTTAGTTCTTTCCTTCATCTGTGTTTCTAGCATTCAAGGCCATCAAAGCTTATTTTTACATAGCTTTCTTCTCATTTCTCTTCTCTTCTCTTTTCTCAGTCCCATTGATTCATGGGCATCGACCGAGCGAGAAAGAAAGCAAAAGCGCCTTTATTTTGTCCTTCTCTTCTTACTCGTTTTTTTGAGGGGGCTCGTTGTGCTCTGATGTTACTGCTAACAGTGTGTAATTGTGAAAAAGGAAAAAAAACGATAGATAGAGAGAACGCGACAAATTAACATAAACTACTGTTTTTTATGATTTTCAGATATATATAAATATATATATATATATATATATATAAAGATATACTTCAATGCCATCGTCACATCAATTTAAACAATACCATCTATGTTGATTAAATATCATCTATTTGAATTATATTAAAGTGATATATATATATTCATAAATATTATTTTCGTTTTTTTTTTGTATTTGAAAATTAATCTCAATATTGAGATATATTTATTCAAGGTAATCCGAAAATAGATCGATGAATTTAACAAATGATTCTGGTGAATATGATAATGATAAAAATGCATCAAGTGATGAAGATGAAGATAATAATAAAACATTTGATAATCCACCAGCAATACTTATAGAAAATTTTCTTTCTGATAATAATGATAATGAAGAATTCGATAGTTGTGTTATTGATGACGATGACGACAAGGATGATGATGATGATGATGATGACTATGGTTATGATGATGATGATGGAAGTGATATTGAAAATCATTTTTATTCAAAAAAACAAATACCAACACAAAATCGTCTTTGTTCATTATTACGACAATCAAATCGTCTTGTTGAATTAAAACTAAATATATTTCATAAATGTTTACTAAATAATCAAAATCAATCATTACGACATGCACTTTCGGATAGTGATATGTCTAAACGATCTTATCATTATCAAAACAATCAACAAGAACAAGATCAACAACAATCAACACTGGTTCCATCATTATCATCAAATCATTTTTCTTTTTCATCTAATCGTTCACATCGTCTTTATTTACCCTCATCATATCTATACGAGTTACAAACACAGATAACAAATTGGTTACAAGCAAGTACGTATCTAATTGATTCAATATCAACATTAACCTATCATCGACGATGTTGGTCTCAACTTTTACTAACATATTTTATTGAAAGAGGTTATATTAATCTCGAATTTATTCGTTGTACACATTCATTATCATTACTAACCGTTGAACAAGATACATGTTCAGTACATAAACATGGATGTGTACCAGAAGAAGATGCATATAAATTATGTTCGATATTACAAAAAGGTTCACGGTTTAATATAAATTCAATTATATTTGATCACATACGTCGTATTATTATTATTAAAAGTTTGCAAGAAGGTAAAAAGAAAATAATAAATAAAACATAGGTTTTTTTTTTTTTTTGAATGTTTAGTACCTAATGATAATTCAAATTTACAACAAGTCTATGTTAAACAATTAAAAAGTCTTAAACAATCTTTAATTCATCAACAATCATCCGTAATGAATATAAACAATAATAATCGAATAATAAGTGTTGCATCAATATATTCAAAACTTCTTTTATTTTTGTCAAGTCTTTATTCAATTAAAGCCGAAACGATGCAAATACTTTTTTGTCAACATCTTCTACACAATCCGACTTATTCCTATCTTGTTACTTCATGATTTTAGTTTTTCTTTTTCTTTTTTTTTTGTATGTGTGTGAGCGCATGCGTGTGTGTGTGTATTGTGTATCCCGGTTGATGATTTATATGTACATATAAGTCATCGTCTCGATCAGATCATATAAACATGTGTGTGTGCGTGTGTGCGCGTGCGTGTGTGCAGCTAAACGGTGAATGAATTTAAGACGGACAAATAATATGTTCTTTTATTTTATTATTTTCTAAAGGATTTATTAATTATGATGATTATATGTTTCAATTTCAATATTACTTTCAGCTAAATGAAGTGGTATTTGTGTACCATCAATTTTATATAAAATAGCAGTTGTTTTCGTTGAATATGATTTACTATCTTGATCAAGAATTTTTTCAAGGCAATATTCAACGAAATCACCTTGATTAATAATATATTTATTGTTTGTTATTCGTTTACATACTAATTTTGATGATTGATTTAAATGAGAATATATATGATCGTTGAGTACAGGTTGTATATAATGCCATATATCATTGATAATTTGTTGATTGGTATTTGTTGAATCATACTCATTGGGAAGAATATCTACTTGATTTTGTCGTCGTTGTCGAATTAGACTTTGTTTAAATTTTAATACAGGTCGAACTTCGACAAAATTTAAAATAGTTAAAAATAATATAAATACGTTTATAATGAATCTGTGCATGTGCTTTCGATATTGAAAATTTTTAGAAAATGAAAGAGTTAATATAGAATAAGCTTGGAATCATTTTTGGACAGAAAAACAATCTTATTGATTAAAAACATGTGTTATAGAAGAAGAAAAAAAGAATTCAATTTTTTATTAATTTTATATTAAAGTTTTTAAATATTCTATGGAGAATACAATCATTCAAGTATAAAACTACAGCTGTTGTTTTGTTTTAATTCAAATAACGTTTATTTGTTCTATATTCTTCTAATTCACATTAATTATGAATTGAATTTTATTCAAACCATCTGCAAAAAAAGTTTCTATAATAAAAATAGAAATAACGATACGGCTAAGAGGAAAGAAAAATAAAGCTTATGACTAACTTTGTTTTTTCTTTTCAATTAAAACCTTTTGAAAAAAAGAAATATTTAAAGTAAATCAACAACAAACACAGCAAACTTTAGTTTATGAGAGAACCTCTCCAAGTATCAAATCGCTTCTCAACCGACATGATAGTCATTTGATGAGTAATAGAAAAGTTCAGAATGGTTTGGTATTCCGCGCCTATGTTCTTGAGATATCAAAATTTTACTGAATTTTTCAACAGAAAGTTATGACTCTCCACTGATCATATGGAAAATCGATTTTTGACTTCAAACTTTACATGAACGAACTTCTCCATGAGATTTGTTCATTGAGTAAGTTGTAACTTTTCTAATATCTCCTGAGATATGCAACGTTAAAAATTCTCTTCTGTATGCAAGTAAATTTTGTTCAGATATATACATCTCCAGAAAAAAAATAATAATTACAAAGCAAATAGTCTCATTGAGAATTGTGCTCCTGTAAAGTTTGAAGTCGAAACTCGATTTTCCATGTGACCTAAGGAAGATCACAGCTTTTTGTGCAAAAAACGCAGACTCGGAAAACTCAAACCATTCTAGACTTTTCTTCTACTCATCAAATGAACATCGTCTCGGTCGAAAAGTGATTTCACACCCGAAAAAAGTTCCCTCATTAGCAACAGATTTTGCATATATCTTATGAAAAGACACATGTCGACAGAAACTTTTTGTTTTACCGACCTTAAACTAAATGTCTTAATAGATTTGTACATACAAGAACGAATAAAACAAACAGCATCAATTTGTGGAAAATCTTATGTGATAAACATATAAACGTGGGCCAGTATTTTATAAAAATGTATTCAGTATCTCGAAAAACATAATAAATTCGGGTTTTCAAAATCGATATTTAGCATTATTCTAGCTTTTCGTCGGAAAAAATATAACAGCCAATAGTAACTGTATGAATACAGCAAGTAAGATTTGTCAATCAGAAAAAACTATTCCCAAAAGTACTTTGATATACCGTGATTGATCTTACATCAAAATACTCATATCTAATACCATAAAATCAAAATTGACATTTAATTATAAAAAATAATCTCTGTTCGTTTTGAATCAATTTACAACAATAGATTAAATTTCATCGTCAGACAGAGACCCCCTGTGATATAAATACTTAGTTGAAAATACTTCAATTTTATGAAAGATAGATAGTATGCCACTATTTTATCACTGCTCTGTGTCATAAGATTAAAACTATCATTAATATAAACTTTATTTTTCTTATCTTTGAAAAGATAACATGCATTGATATAAATAAAAACTCTTAAACGATGATTTAAAAGTTATATTCACTCCTTCTGTTGAGTTGTCAACTGAATAACTCTGATTAGTTATGAAAAAGATTCGTTGTAAAATAAAAACTTGACATTGTGTTATAACTAGAAAAAAGTATGTCACATGCTCAAACAATTATCATATTCTCATGCCTCAGTGATTCGACACACTTTAGAAACACAAAAGTCACATATGTTGATAGTTTTTTTTTATATGCGTTTCGTTATTTTGTCGTTTCATTATTACTTAGGTAAATATCAAAAAAATGAAACGATAGATTGTACATCGGCAAATACGAGTACTTTTCGATGGCTGTATACTTTGCCATGATTTATTTCATTTGTAGATATCACAAAAAAAAATCATGCCAAGCTCTTCTATTAATAAGATAAATGTTGATCAATGGGTTCAAGAACACGAACCAGAATTTCAACCTCCTGTTTGCAATAAATTATTGTAAGCGACAATAAATCTAAACAGTATAGATTTATTTATATGTTTTTTTATTTATTATAGACATAATAATCAATTGACAATAATGTTTGTTGGTGGACCAAATATTCGTAAAGATTATCATTTAGAAGAAGGCGAAGAAGTATTATTCATTGAAAAAAACCATTAATCGATTAATCATTATTGATTCCTTTTTTTTTGTTCATATTTTGTTAGATTTTCTATCAGATAAGAGGCGATATGTGTTTAAAAGTTCTTGAACAAAATCGACATCGTGATATTATTATTAAACAAGGAGAAGTAAAAGTTTTATTTGAAATCAAATATCTAATGCTTATGACAATGAATATTTAGATCTTTCTTTTACCAGCAAATATACCTCATTCACCAAATCGTTTTGAAAACACTGTCGGATTAGTTGTGGAAAGAAGACGAGGAGAACATGAATTGGATTGTGTAAGGTATTGAAATCCAAAAACAAAATGAAGAAAAGAAGATTTTGAAATTTTGTTCTTTCAGATATTTTCAAGGTCAATCAACAAATCGTTTGTACGAAAGATGGTTTCATACCATAAATCTTGGCATACAATTGGGGCCCGTTATAAAAGAGTAAGTTATATACTTCAAATGATAAACATTTTATTGAATAAATGAGTAATATTTTATTCGACAGATCGTGCATAATAGGTAATTATCATATGAATTCATGCATCCGTATATATTGGAAAATATTGCTTGATTACTGTTACTATAGATGAAAGCATGATTTATTGTTAGAAAAACATTTTAAGTAAAACACTATTAAGAATCAATCTGTCTCACGCATTTTTAAAAAAACTTCGTCATTAGTTCACATTAATCAGACTCCGCACTCATTGATCTTATCTTTATTCACGCACACCTCCAAGTCAAGGTCAGCACGCTGTAATAAGTTTGATAAAAGTGCGTTTATTTCAAAATTTCTAATCAGTTCATGAATACTTATTTTTATTTGAATATATTATTTCCGTAAATTTCCATTAAACTATATGTCATTATTCGGACAAAGTGAACCATCAATTGATTATTACGCAGATGAGTTTTATCTGTCGTATAACAGGAAGTCTCCGGAAATTTAAATCACGCTCATTTTTTTTCTTTGTGTTCTATTCATTACTATTGATTTTGTCAACAAATACGAAGAATCTTATTTAATTTAAATCTTTATATTATCCGAAATGGGAGCGGATATAGTTTTACATTAAAAAAATGACACATGAATATCATTTTTTAAATTTTTTTAAAGGTTTTTTCAATCTGAAGAATATCTTACTGGTCAACCAAAAGCGGGTAGAATATGAATAAATATATTTGATATCGTTAGCAAAAAAAGTTTTTTAGATAGTTATCTTGAAAATCCACCTGTACAAAATGATGAGAAAATGAAATTAGATAATCCATTGTCGTTAGATGAATGGATTGATAAACATGCAGAAGAACTTTCACTTGGTAAATCAATAAATTTATTTCGAGATGGATTTCAAACAAAAGTATATGTTATCCCGAAAGGTCAACATTTGATTAAATGTTCTAACGGTGATGTTTGGTTATGGCAACATGTTAGTAGTTATATTTGATTAGAAAATGAAGCTTTTTTTTCTTCTTTTTTTAATTTTAATAGAAAGGACATGCAACAGCTAAAATAACTACCAATGATAATGAAGAATCAACTTTAAATCTAGAACAAATGGATTCTGTTTATTTGCATGATCACTGGACGTAAGTATCAGTTGCTGTTCATTTTTTTTGTTTATAGACAAAAAAGAATTGTAATTATTATTGATGCGGAAAGATTCGAAATGACATTTCATTTACAAAACTTGAAAGTTTAATTTGAATAGATCGTATACTAATTGATCTAATCAATTTTGACAACTATGTTAATGTCCTTTTTGTTGTTTTGTAATTGAGAACTTATAGTATTCCATTAGAATAAGAGAAATTTCTATATTTCTTAATTTTATTTAGTTGATTTATTTATTTGTTTATTTTCGTGTCTACAAATGACACGATAAATATATACACGGTATTAATTAGACGATGATTTTTCAGACATATACATAGTTTGTCTTTGGGAAATTATCATCTATACAAAGAGAAATTTTTTGTATACTATAAAGGACAAAATATATAGAACTGATTATAGGAGAAAAAGAAAAAAACATCATTTCGAAATTAAACCTATGATATTACTTTATGGAAATAATTTTTGTCGAGTTCGAAAAATAAGCTTTTCTGTAATAGATTCATTTATAGTATAATTATCTTGATGAATTGTTGTTAATGTTGTTGTTGTTGTTGCTCTTGTTACTGATGTATTCATACGTGTTATAATATGCACTAATTGATGTGCACCAACTTTTGTACGTACAAGTTCATCTATTTTTGGTGCCATTTTAAGTGTTAATGTTACAATAGCTGCACACAACAGTATAATTAAAAGTCCAACAATACTAACAATTCGTGCAATAATACGTTTCTTACGATCAGCGGCTGCTAATAAACGTTGTTGTTTAAGTTCAAATAAATTTGTTGGTGTTCGATCAATAACTGAACCGATTGATGTTGTAAAATTTGTATTCGATTTTCTCGAACCTTGCAGTTGTTGTTGATAATTAGGTTGTTTAATAATCAGATATTGAAGAAAAGCATCCTGTGCTTGAGAATCATCATCAAAATTTTCAGTTACATGTCGTGGTGAATTTCTTATAGATAATGGATAGGATTGTTCAGGTGTGGGAGAGTAATTATTATTAGCGGTTGACATCAATCGATGAACAACAACAATAACATTGATAGTTGAAATAACATCAGCATATTTGTTGTTTAGTTAGTACATTTACATAATCAATTTATGAGATCGACACGATGTGATGCGATGCGACGCGATGCGATGCGATAACGAATAAGAGAAAGTCTAGAAAACAAACTGTAAGAAAGCAAAATGACAATGTCAACACCGTTAAAAACGAGAAAAAATGATCTTAATTGATTACTTCTCATGTTCGTCCTTTTCTTTTTCTTTTCTATCATATTTTCAAACTGGTAAATACAACAATCTATCATTTTATTTCAATGACATATATAGAATCATATGAAGCATTATTCTAATATATTTTTCGATCTCGAATATTAATATATATGTCGTATGATTTTGACTACGAAATTATAGTCATATGGAAACTTATGATTTTGAAAGAAGAGTTTTTTTTTATTGATATTTATCTATGATTAGCTAATAAAGAATAGATACAAACTGATAAAAACCTTTTCGTAGAAAGATAGTTGAGTGGTATTTGATTGTTACTTACAAAATATGGAACATCCGTGTGATTTATGTATCTCAAGTTCTAGGAATATTCCATGACGACAAACTAACAATCGAATAAAGCATACTGTGATAATGACAATGCATATTTATTCAATTAGAGCTTTTTGTTGACCATAATATAAGCAGAGCGGTAAATTAGTAAATGCAACAACTAGAAGCTGAATTGGAAAATTTATAATAAGATTTAAGACTAACATGCGATGTACTACATCAACTATCATGGTTGTTTCGTATTGTCATTGTTTAGCAAATCTTCTTACATACGTTTTTCTATATTCTTCGTTGCTCTCTTTTTCTTTTTTTTTCTTCTTTTATTTTTATAATTGGTGCTCTCTTGGTCCCTTGTCAATAAGCTGTGATGTGGTTGTTGTCTAAAAACGAACAGAAGAAAAAGATGAGATAGAAAGAACAATGCCCGCCCGAAACGGTTCAAACTTCCTGTAGTTGCTTTACATTGTTGCTTGTCTACTATATCACTATGAGTGCTGTCACACATTGGTATCATTTGACAGGAAACAAGGAAAAAAAGAAAGAAATGTAGAACGAAGACGTTATTTATTTTCTTTCTCTGTCTTCTTTTTTTTGCTCAACTTTCTATTAGAGGTTTTACTTTTTTTCTCTTCTAAGAAGAAGAAGACGAAGCAGAAGAACGGAAATCCCCATCTATTCTTTCTCTTCGTTTCTCATTTTCTTTCTTTTTTTTTTTTCAAATATTCATATGTCACTGCTATCGATGTATACCTTTTGGTTTTCTAGGCTCTATTTGAAAAGAGAGAACAGAAAAACTAAACAGAATAACTAAGCATGAAACAGCAATGAAAAACATAAATTGGAAAGCATTTGTGCGTGAGCACTCTTGCATATTTACACATTAAATGAGTAATGATGTTGCACGAGCATGGAATTTATAAAGGATCGATTGTCATTGGAGATTCTGCAATCATTTTGTTTTTTCTTTTCTCGATAAAAAAAAAAAGATGACGGACTAATGTCAAAAACTATTAGGAAAGAGAAAGAAAAACGAAGTAGAGTACTAAGTGGATCTACTTAGGAATAAAATAATCGACAAAAAAGTCAACTGAAATATCATCTATCATTAGTACATTCAAACGAACAAATAATAAGCATATAGAAAAATTAAAAAATATTACTAATGTTTATTTTCTCAAAATAGAAATTATGATTATCATGAATATGTAAACTATATAATAGTCGATGGTAACCTAATGATAAAAAAACAGAGACATAAACATAATGAAAGAGGATGTATGTTTTGTCGAGTAACTCATACGAAACAGTTGACAAAAATGCATTGAGACATGCGAAGAGATTCTCTAATGTATGTTTTATGTAGAAAGATAAGAGAAAAAAACTAAATGGAACGTAATGCTGAAAGTTTTACATAGAGAGATAAGATGATTGATAAAGAGACAAACACGATATATATCCTTGTGGGATTTGTTACTCTTACATAAGAAAAGATTGAATCATGCATCACGTTTTTTTTTCTTTTCTTTCTCAATGAGATGAGAACTATTATTATAGTCAACCATCGAACAATCAATGGATTGTTATTTTACTTAATAAAAATGTTTTATCTGTCTTATTTTTAGGGCGTATACTATTGAACAAACAGGAAAAGGAAATTCGTTGCAATGTGTCGAATGCATACATCAATGCTTTTTCCGTTGTTGTTGTTGTTGAATTCCAACACTATACACACGCCATTCGTATTTCTGCACGCTTGTGTATATCTGGAGCTAATCGAGTACTAGAAAGATACAATTAATAATCGTTGTCCTTGTCGTTTTGTATCATCAATTATGCCCTTGAGAGAATGCGAAAAGAACGAAAAAAAGAAAGAGAAAGATGACCAAAAACAAGAAAATCATGTTCACTTGGAAAAAGAAAAGAATATTTTGAGCAAAATGAAGTGAATAGTATTAGATCAACAATAGATAGAAAAACCTTTAAAAGAGAAAAAGGAAATCAAAGATTAACTCACCGTCTGTTTATAATTATAAATAGAAATCAAAAGAATTGATTGCCCATAAATAATGGCATTATACGTAGTATCATTTTCTACTTTATGCTTCATTTTATGGTGTATATGCTTATCAATAGGTTTTCATATACCGTAAGAATATATACTATTTTCTTAATGTACATATTCTGCCAATATAATATACTAAAATTCTTTTCTCCTCATACTTCAGAATATAAGACAAGGAAAAATATTGAAAAAAAGTCTATCTATTATTTTACGGAATAAATAAATAATATTTATCTATTTTTAGGTGTCAATTGAATGTTGACAATAATGGATTTGTTTTGGCCGTTAGTCAGGATCCATCACGAAACAAAGCATGATTAACAGAACAGAAAGAAAAAGAAACCAGTTTTTATTGATTCTTTATATTTTCATGTTCTTAATAAAACTTTAAAAAAGGCTATTTATTTAATTATTCGTTGAAATATCCTTTACCTTCAATAATGAAAAGTCAATCATAATTGAATCAATCAAAACATGGCAAAAGTCCATGTTTAATAATGTATATAATATTGACTTTAGACTAAGTAAGAATATATGCTGACTAAAGAATAAACAAATACATAACAGTATTAATACTAAGCAGGATGTAGTTTATTACTGACAATTATATTCACATGTGTTTTATATTAGGATTATGAACAAAGCTTATCCCTGAAATATGCATCTAGAAAATGAATAATTACCAAGAGTAATTTTTCTATTTATATAAAAGTACTTTTTCTAAATAATTTTCTTCTCTGGTGAAAAACATGAATAGATGTGGTAATGCTTTATGTAAAATATATGTCATGGAAAAATATATGATTTCTATTATATTTTATATAAAAAAGCTAGATTTATAGTTTCCCGTCTTTTTTGGTACATATATTCTCCATCAATTGTTTTTCATCAAGAATGAATAGATGTGGAGAACAATATAATTTCAATCTTCTTTTATACTTAGGGCAAAGCAAATGTGATGCCATAGGTAGTTCAATACCGTATATAGAAATGTCAAAGAAACCTTCTTTTTGTATGCACTAATAATAAAAATAGTGGTCTAGGTTTCTCTAATATTTGATTATTTTTCAACTAATATCATAGTAATAAATTTTCGATAAGAACTATTGGTTATGATATATAATGATTAACATATAACTCTTCCAAAGAAAATAAAAGAGGTTGATGAGTATGTTTTAAATATTACGTAGAGAACTGTAATTTTTAGCTTTACAAAATCAGATGAAACCACATTGAATAGTATATTATAAAGTTTTAATCTAATGTTTTCTCAGGTTTTTAATCAAATTTCTAAAAAAAAAACAATGCCACAAAAGACTTATTTTTATCAAAAGAAAAAAGGAAAAAAAAAGTGATTTTTCTTACTAACAAGAATTCCTAGAAAAGAATCTTAAAATTTTAAGTAAAATATCTATAACTTCTGAATGAATACATGCAAACATTTCAGCTTTGGAAAATTTCGTAGATCTACAAATGACGATTCGAATGTACATCTAATCATTGGAAATTCATCCCAAACTCTTCACAGGTAGATTGATTCTCACAAAGATCGATTGAAAACTCAACAGAAAAACAAAAGCTGTGATTTTCGATTCAGCATGTTTTCATCGCCTCTTTATAAAATTGCAAACATCTTATCTCTCTATGCTGCTTCTATTAACAGTATTTCAAAATATACTCATCAACCTTCCTTTTTCACTTTGAAATGGCATTTATGTTGTCATCACATGTCATAACAAGTAGTTCTTATCAAAATTTTATTGCTATAATGTTAATTGAAAAATGAAGAAATATTAGAGAAACATAGAGCACTATTTATAGTATCAGTGCATATAGAAGAAAAAGTTTGCTCGACTTTTCTATCGTGTTGAAATATCACCGCCCCTCCATTTACTATGTCCTCAGTAATAATCAACGATAATCAATAGAAAGTGTATGTAAGAAATGTGCTTTTCTTATATGAAACAATTGAATATTTTTTTAAAAGGTTTGTATTGTTGAATGATCGAAATTCAAATGCTGAGTATGCAGTTAACCTATGTTCCAAGTCATGCAAAGCTTTGAAGTTCATATTTTGCTTATAAGTATGGTGCCTGTAAACCAGAAAAAGCGTAAGAGAGCTTGAAAACATATTGGAATTTGTCTAGGAGATAGAAGTTTTCTTTGAATTATCCTACAGAACTTTCATTTTTATGCAAAACATTATTTTACTGGAAAACAAAAATCTCGCGAAACATTTTCAAAAAAATTCTTTTTTAATCTCTGCCAATGCACAATGAAGGATTCATATCCTCTAGACTTTTTTCTGACCTATAGGGTCCTTACTCATAGATGAAATAGAGAGAGCTAACTACTATGAATCACTTCGAACGGTTCACTCGTCAACCAAAACAAAGAGAGAGAGAGAGATAGCATATGCTCAGACTAACACATTTTTAAATCTTGAAGTTTTTTTCTTAACTTTAAGGATTTGAAAAAAAATGTGATGGTTTTATTAGCAAGATTATGGATGTTAAGAATAGATCATTGGTTAGTTTTTTATTTTTATTCTATTATTGGTTTCTATCATAATCGATAAAAACTCTGTTAAATAGTTAATAGGTAAAATGAGCTAAATATAGGCAATCTAAAAAAGAAGATTCATATAATTTAATTCATCGAACTTGATATGCAGTTGTTATATTTGCATTATTAGTAAATTCATATTCAAAAAGAAGGAAATATTATTTACTTTCAAAAATATCTTATTGTATTTCCAAGTCATCCCAAAAAGAAATCAACCAAGTAGTTTCCACGTATTGACGTCAATTTATAAGAACAATGTTATCCTTATACAATAAAAGCTATACCATATGTTAATGACCTTGTTGATGGCAATAAATAGATGAGACAACAGTGTTAGATTTCATTTTTTATACGCTGATGAGTGTTGATGACACTCGTACAGCCTTATAGACTGAATAGATCATTTTTTTTAGTTTTGGTTGATTATTGTCTATAATAAATCACAATACTTTCTTTTCGACATAATCGAGGTAAAAGAATCCTAGATCTTTCTATTTGGGTAATCTATCTTGTTGATCTAAATTGAATTTTACATATCATTCAGCATACTAATCAAGATAGAATATGTACAGTTCTAATCAATAGCATCTAAAATGACGAGTGTAGTTCATAGATAAAATCTACTGTTAAGATCTCTCTAAATATCTTATACACATAGAAAGAAAAAGAAAAGAGGTTAAAATTCATTTATTTAAAATCTAGAATTTTATTATCAAGAAAAAACTTTACAATTTATTTGAATGTTATCAATTGAGTAGCTATTATAATGAATTATATTAAAAAATGATTATTTTGTTTACATTTCCAACATGATACTTACAAGTCATTTTAGTTGATCAACTTTGATAAGATACAATCGAGTCATGTTATATGAAAATTACACATTTGGTCTTATAGTTTCCCTAGTGCTATCAGAGATTTCATCAACAGATTTTAAACGTGATGCACATTGTATTTTTAAAGTCATGAAAGGTTAATTTATTATCTATGATAAAAATAAGAGCCAACGTTAAATAATATATGGAATATTCAATAATCAAGATGGACACAAATTTCCACACTAATAATAAAATTAATTTTGATTACCAGATGACTATGTACTTCCTATGCCATCTGAAAATAGAAAAAAAAATTCTCATAATTAAGTTTCATAGTTTGTTAACTAAATAAACTTGCTTGGGACAGTTTTCATAGAATCGTTTAGTGTAAATCAAATATTCCAGATTGAATCAATTGTCTTACAATAACCTTAAATACTTACAAATAGATTTTATTTAAAATTTTTCAGACATTTCTTTTTATCTGACGTATTTTCAAATATTCATATTTCATTTTACCAATACCATAATATTTTTATACTTATATCTAATCCATAGGAAAATATTTATCTTTTTGAAGTTTCTCAATAACTTTCTTCTGAAAGTATAAATGAATTTATGCATCATAATGTAAAGTTCTTTATGAACTATCGAATTAAACTTGAGTCATGCGAAATAAAAACGTATGAGAGTATTAATCATAATTATTCGATTATAATTCTTTCTTGTACACATATAGAAAAATCTGATAGTGTAACTGGATCTTAAAAAAGAAAATCATTATCGAATTCTTTTCAGCACAAGGACTTCAATACGAAAAACAACATATTCTCAGAGCCAAAGATTAAGTTCATTGTCAGAAAGAGAATTGATTGTTTATTATCAATGTCATATGACCCATTGCTTCGGATTGGCTTTCATAAGAAAACAAACCCTTCGACATATGGCACACGATATTAAACTTCTATACATAACTTATATCATATGTTTTTTTAGATCCAATAACATGTAATTTTCAAACGGTTTATTTTTTTTTTGTAGAAAAATCATTCATGATTCAAGTTTCGACTTGTTTTCAACACAAAAACAAATAGACTTGTTGCAATGGCATTTATAACTTATAATAACTAACATACCAATGAAAAAAATTGTAAGCTATTTCTTTTGCCATTATCTCGTTAATTATCAAAATATTGCACCCATAAGACTAAAGCCATTGCAAAAATTTCTTTTTTAAATAACAGCAATATGTCAAATCTAACAGTTATATTAGAAATTAATAAGAAGATCAAAATATATGCATTATTATTCAATTGTTTGAGAATAATATTGATAAGCATTGTTTACACCTATTTTGAATAACTTTTTGTATATTCGAAGCTTTTTTTTTTTTTATATGCAATAGATAATGTCAATACACTTGTTCTATTAGGTAAAATCGAACATTTATTTATCGCTTTATATACATCTCATGTACCAAGATTTATTTTCAATGTCGAACGAAAAAAAAAAAAGGTCATCAAATCAATTATTAAAATATCAATAACTTAAATTAATTCAATTTCTTCTATATATTTCGACAACAATAAATATATCGATTATGTAAATGTATATTTATTGTTTTTTTGCAAGTAAATATCAATGAAAATTTCGTATCAATTTTTCTTTTTATCTCGGTGAAAAATAATTCTGTTTTTTTCATTTTTGAATTGTCTTCATGTCATGGAAAAAAAACACAAGATGTGTTGTTTTTATTTGATTTAGGTAATATAATAGAGAAGTCTGTTTTTTTTTTCTTGAAATATAAGTATTTTTTTCTCTGTTTGTCTGCCTGTATGTGTGTGTGTGTGTCTGTATAATTTGCCGGAGAAGGTCGATTTACCTTCATCAACGTAGCCGTTTTTTCTCATTCTCTCGTTTATATTTTTCTGTTTTTTTTTTTTTTTTAATTTTGAATCAATGCTAGACGACATCATTCAGCTGTAAGGTAAGTATTTGAAGAGAAGCAAGGTCTGGATGTGGGTGAAACAAAACAGAAGAAAGAAAACGTCCGATTCTGTGCGGTTTGCGGCCGCTATTGAGAAAAGGTTAGCAAATTGTTGTGCACAACATAAGAAAGGTCGGGAAGAGAATAGAAGTATTTGCCCGCCACCGTCCTCTCTCTCTCTCCTTCTTCATTCGAGAAAAGAAAAAAGAGAGATTCTTTTTTTTCGTCTCTCGTCGTTGATGAAGGATTGTGGTTGGTGCACATCAAGACAAAGAGTCGCCCGCACAACAGCCATCCATCATTGTAGTTATAGTAGTAGTCGACGATAAAATATACCAAGCAGCTGATAGAGAGAAAAGAAAAACGAGTAAGCAAACATGTGGTTATTCGATTTTACCATTATTACCATCCAATAATGATGAGCAATATTATTGAAAAAGACACATCGAAAGATTTTTTTTCTTTTTTTTTTTCAAGTACATTTCTATGGATTCTTTGTGTTCTTATTTTACATGTTTTATTCGAGAGATTTTTGTTCCTAAGAAATATAATGTCCTTCTTATGACCTTGTTGTCACAACAACAGTTCAATGAATAATAATAGATCAATTTTTTATTTGTAGATATTTTCTCTCTCTTAATTATCATGATGGAATTACTTAATAATTTTGATTGTGGAAGTAATAATAAAGAATTATCATTATCATCAACATATGATAATGAACAAATACTTTATCGTTCTTGTTTAATTGGTGATTTAGAACGTGTACAATATTTACTTCGAAATAATAGTTCATCATCAATAGATCTTAATCGACAAAATTCTGATGGTTTAACATTATTACATTTTGCTTGTTCAAATAATTTTTATGGACTTGTACAATTACTTTTACAATATAAAGCTAATAATCATATACGTGATCATCTTGGACGCACATGTTTACATTATGCATCAATAAAAGGATATCGTGCTATTATTAATTTATTATTACAATCAATTGAAAATATTAATCAACATAACTTTATTTATTTAAATGATAATCAAAATAAACATTCACTTGATTATGCATGTGAAAATGATCATATTGATATAGTTGAAATATTTTTAAATTATACAGATATTAATCATATGGATTTAACATCATCATTATATTATTCATCAATTGAAGGTCATTTAGATATATGTCATTCATTAATAAATAAACAACATGAACGTAAAGATTTATTTCAATTACAACCAACATTTATTCGTACGATATGTCATCGTGGTCATATTGAAATTTTACGTTTATTAATTGAACATTTTTCTATTTCAACACGACAACGTGATTGTGGTAATAGTATATTATTTTATTGCATAACAACATTTGATATTGATTTAGTTAAAAAATTATTAGAACGACAAGCTTGTTTAACTGAAAAAGATATACATGATTTAATATCATTTTGTCCATTAAATGATCAAAATAATTTTTATATTGATCATTATTTTGATTGTTTAGAATTACTTTTACGTTATCGATCAAATTTTGATGATCAAAAAATTTGTAAATATTTTATACGAGAATTATGTGAAAAATGTACAACAACATTAATAGGAAAAAAATTAAAATATTTATTTGCATTATCTATATATAGTGGTTCAATACAATTATATCGTCGTTCAACAATAAAATGGTGTGGTGAAATAAATATTTTAACTAAACGTTATGTTAATTTAATTGATGTTATTAAACAAACAACAAAAAAATGGTCTTTGAAACATATATTAAGATTAAAAATAAAACGTTCAATGAAAATATTTAACATAGAACAAATCAGAAAATTACCCGGATTACAAGAACATCATATAGATTTTCTTAGTTTTGAGTATTTGTAAAATTATTTCTATATATATACGTGTGTGTGTGTGTGTCATAAATTTTTTCTTTTTTTAATTTATATTAGGAAATATATGTCGAAGACGAGATAAACAGTAACTAAAATACTATCTCATGAAAAAAACAAACAAGTCAATTGAATTTGACATTGGTTTTTTTGTGTTATTGTCAATGCTGTTTAACATAGTTTTTATCTCACCTTTGGGTTATGTGTTGAGTGTCTTGTTTATAACACCTTGAGGTGCTATTGAATAATATTGTATATAATTATTAAAAGCACAATATAAGTGTACCTGAATTCAAGGAAATAATTTATTCTTTTCTTTATAATTCGAATTTGCATAAAGATTAGTAATATAATCATTTATACAAACGTTAGGATAGAAACTCATTTATTCTAATAGAATTTGAAATGAATATAAATTTTTATAAAAATCTTATTCGATTACATGGTTTGTTTTTTTGTTAATTCTTCATGAACAATATTGTAATAATAAGTTTTTTTATTATTTTTATACAATAAATTTTGTGTTTGTTTTCACTTTTATTCCTATAAAGTATAGGCTCACTCTGAATATGATCATGAAAAAATACTTAAAGAAAACCTATTGTTATATCTTTAGAAGAATCTGAAAAGATTACGACTGTTCATAATTGATTTTAGAGTAAGAATGGCTAAAAAAAACTCATTTCAGAGCATGATGGATAATTGAATGGCGAAAGATTGAATCACTTTTGTTTGATTTCATTTAATAGAGTCCTTTCAAATGTGATAGAAGTGAATGATTGCACTTGGAATACAATATACGAATCTTGTTCAATATGATTAATTATTGAAACTAACTTTGACGTTTTCTTTCGTTGATAATTCACCTAAATTATAAAAGTTATAAAAGAAATTTTTATTATTTTGATTCTAAATTTTACAATCCACTTTTCATCGATTATAATCTATTTGAAACTATCAATTTTCTTTTGTAAATATACACTTAAATTGTCTGTATTTTTGTTTTTCAGTTTAAATTTATATTATAACTAAAAATAGTTATCTACTCTTATTTTACTAGTTTTAAATAGATTTTTTCATAGTTATTATTCAATTGTTTATTGACTTGCTTTCTTTAAAAGTTAGATTAGTACATTGTATTCCTAATTTGAAATATTTGTTCCATTGATATTAGTTTATCATACGAAAGCGAAGAAAAAGACAAAAAGATTGTTTTTTTCTGACTTTTGATACACATATATCAACATAAAATTTAATGGAGAACAATGACATATAGAAGATTAAAAAAATATTATTTATATGATCATATTTTATATGAATCTTTGGAATTTAGTGTGAAAGTGTCTATTATAAAGCAGTATTGGTAATAAAAAGAAAGGACAAGTTACTAGATTGTATTCAAGGTTGTTCTTTTCTTTTCTTTTTTTTCTTTCTTTCATTCATTCATGATTAGATTGCATAAAGAAGAAAGATTAATCGTGGCAATTTATTGATAGGCAATGCATCAGGTAAGCGATGCATTTGTAACTTCGTACATGACTGATTTTTTGTTTCACTTTTGTTGGTATCATAAAAAAAAAGTTAGTCATATTACCAAATATAATTTTTTTGGTACTTTGCATATAGACAGAGACGTTTGTTTTTTTTTCTTGTTTTTCCATTAATCTAAACATGTTTTTTCTATCGTCGTAGTAATTAAGCAACCATGTTTACCTTGGACATGACTTCAAGGAAACTTACTGTACAACTACATGACTTTTAAGATAGAAAGAGAAGTGAGAAACAAACGAATATTAAAAATGCCACAACGTGTTTGATATTGATAGTACTTCTGGATACACATTTTTGCTCATAACTGCTAAGCAGATAAGGAGAAAGGGATCAGAGTGTAATACATGAGTGAGATGTAAAAATTTAAAAAAAAAGAGGAAACAAAGAGATTAAGTATGTGAATCTCTTCATGTCCATTTACACATTTGAATATTTTTTGCGAGCTTGATATTACTTCACTTAAGACTTATTGTTTGAGACCTTGAGTAGTTGATAGTGAGTTAACCGGTAGGTTGTTGATGCATTGATAAAGAGTAAGGCATTCGTTTCATATTTCGCATCTGTTTTGATACTTTAATGGAAGACGCATTGCGATGGTACACGATATTTTCATTTCTTATTGTTGATTGAGGATCGATTTGAGCTCTGTATGATTGTTGCTCAAAGTGCACTTTACACGTTTGTTTTCATAATGAAATTAGCGGATTAAAAAAAAACATATTGACCAAAATGTAGAGAATAAAATATAGTAGATTGAATGGTTTATTAGTGTGTTATGTATGATACTTTTATGCTAACGGGTGATAAATGAGAATCATTCGTATTTATTTCTTATTTCTTCGCAATTGTCTATGATGTAAATATGAACGAGAATATCGTTACATAATTTGAAATGAATCTTTATTTATTCAACAAACATTTTAAAAATATTGGTAATCATTCAATATTAATATATAAAAACAGAATAATTTTGGATGATATTATTTGTAACAACATAGCATCGATTAAATCCATGAATGTCATAATTTTCTAAAGCGTTATTTTTTG